ATGATCCTGAATTGTGGGACTTGAAAATGTTCTCAGTCCAAGTTAATAATCGACATCGCTCTGCCGAAGGGCTAACGCTCGAAATGTTAGCTTTGAAACTCTTTACGGAGGCCAATTGAGATTATTAAGACAGTTGATAAAACCAAATTATATTGCTAAGCTTCCCCACAGACGCAGCACCACAGTTGCTTTATAAACTTACCCTCTTTAATAGAAAAGAAACTTATATTTTCTTCTCGATTCATTACGCTAAAGCTTGCGATTTTATGAGGCCATATTGCCAACTATTTACAATATGTCTACACCATTAAAAGCACAAACTTAGCACTTTAAATTGAAAAAAAAAGTGCTGGCAGTATTTGAGTTTAGTATCGACTAGTTAGTCCGAGATGCCGCTGTCAGGTTAGCATTCCGGTTCCGGTTATCCCGCTGTATCCACCTGAAAATAAATTGAGCAGAAAATCAATCAATGAATATATGAGTAATTACATAAATTTTAAAAAAATAAACTACCACTTACCAATCAATACATAAATTCATTCCATGCGAAGAAAATCAATTTAAAATTCTCATTTTCATTTTGGTTCAACTGGGGTCCTTCTACGTTCATGATATCGATGGGATTAATTTCCGATTCTAAATTTAACAAATAGATTCCAAGTTGCCTTGCGTCTGTTCAGTAATAGATCACAGATGACGTCAAAATGTGGTAAGAACAAAAAAGTGGCACACGAGGCGCAACCGAGCGTGTCACTGATGTTCTTACCACATTTTGACGTCCTCTGTTATCTATTACTGAACAGACACACGGCAACTTGGAATCTATTTGTTTTATATAATAAAGAATTCAAACATACGGAAAAAAAGTTTAATGATGTCGTCATCTCTACGTCTGTCCTCCAATAGATCATTAGTGAGAACCAATCAGAATGCGTGCATAACTGAGCTTATTATATAAATAATATTATATGTTTTGTTACGGAATATTTACACGGGCTCAATTTTTTTTCGTACACCATTTTTCTAAGTGAAAGAAAACGTTGGAGACAAGTAGAAGTAAGAAAACCAGTGAGCGATGAGGATTGACACGGACAGACAGCCCTAGAGAATATTCATTAAGTAGGTTTGGTTTGTACCACGAATAACTCGCGGAAAAACAGTAGTGACTAAGTCACGACTGGTTCAAGTTTTGCAGACGGATGGCGCAATGAAGTTTTCCACCAATACCAGAACGTACAAGGAAGCGGCAAAAACCGATGCAATACAACTGCAATGCGTGAACTACCTTACCAGTCTCTGACAAGTGGCAGATATTGTGCGAGATATAACTCTAACAGACGTGATGGTTTAGCGATCCACACTTCATCCAAACAGTTCGCCATGGCAATAACAATAAGGTGCGCACATCGTTCCGGTTTCATGGTTGTCGGAGGAAGGACTAAATCCCTACGAGTCTATCGAGTAAAAAAAAAAATAAAAGAGGAAATTTTAGCATGCGATAGCACGAGGAAGACTTCCTTTAGAATGAAGAAAAAGAAAAGAGGGTTTTGATGAATTCACGACTTCGTTTCCTGAAGTGCTCTTCAATTCAATGACGAAAAACCAATACCAAAGAAAACAGAACAGCCAATCAAGGGTGGACTTTGTGCACTCCCTTTTCGGTGAAGCGAGTCACGCAAGTTCACAAAGAAATCCGCGAGAAAAAAAAAATGATGGCTTGCAAGCCGCATGGAACTCTGGGAGGGAGCGCACCAAAAGTGGGTGCCTCCTCAGTTCCAGAGTTCTGTGCGACGCGCTAGCAAGCTATTTTGTTCCCTGGTTTTTTCTTTTTTTTTTTCTTTTAACCTTCCACGACAGACATCGCCGAAAAAGAGGGAATGCTCTTAGACTAAATCACAGTTGAGGAAAATACAAACTGCCAGCTATGAGCCTGTCATAAAGCAGATCTTGAGCGTACATGTGCACATATTGAAATACAGACAGAGCAAACTAACTTTTCGCGTGAGTTGGTCAACCAGGTTTTCATCGTTCAACACCACATAACAATTAACATTATATGATAAAAGTGAAATTTCATCGACATACCTCCAAGTTCTCTCGATATGCATTTCGAAAGAGGTTTGAGTACGTTAAACCAGGGCAGATCATTGTGACACCAACATTTTTATCATAAACTTCCATACGCAAAGCGTTGAAATAACCCTGTAAATAAAAATAGTATAAATGTACAAAGAGAGGTTCTAAACAAATTTTTTCAGCTAATTGCAACTCCTCGACACGATCAAACCCTTCTTCTTTTTTTCATTCCTCTTCTATACTATCACGCCATTTCACTGCCACGCTTCGTTTTCCTGACTGAACACCTGGAACAATCAACTTACAGACAAACTTCATTTCGATCTGTCCTAAATTATCCCATTTAAGAATTTTTGCTCTATTCATCCCATAACACTCAAAAGGGCTTATGCCTCAATCAATTTGAAGCTTCACCATCCCCCGGGCAACACCCCGACACGTTTAAATTCCCCCTCCCCCGGACGAAAATTGCGTTCAAATGCCCCACTCAAAGTAGTATAGGATGCTCATCAATCAGAGAGCAGTATTGTGTACAACGTGGTATAAATAGACCAATCACGAGCCCGTAGTCCATTCAAGATGGTCGATTTGATTTCCCAGTCTTTTGATTAGCTAATTTCAAATTTCAAATTCTGGCGGGAAATTTGAAAAGAGTGACGAGTGACGTAAAAGGGGTGCGCTACTAATGGCGACGACATCGAGTTAATTTGCTTGCCCTCACAAGCACCCTGTACTATATTAAACGGAGAAATTACGAAAGCTATGTGGGAGTCGGGATTCAGTCCTCAGAATAATACGAATGTGCAGAGTAAAAAGAGTAAATAACAAAAACCAATGATCACATTTTAAGTGAGCACAGACATGCAGGAGTCCTTATCCTTTCACTTGGCATAATGCACATGCGCAGTAATAAACAACAAAGAAAAAGGGAATAAAAATGACTTCAGCAAATTTAATATTGACTGTCATCCTGAGATTACAAAGTAAGAAATCAGCAATTCCCTAATAGATTGCGCCCAACTTATGAGATGGTATTATCATTATTAAGGGAAGGTACGTTTTCTATTGGGGGGGGGGGGGGGGGGTGGGCCGAGGCTCCGGAGGGGAGGGTCATTAATAAATTTTTCACAAATTGGGGAGGGTCAAACCTGTTTTATTCGCAACCGGGGGAAGGTCACAGTTTTTTTTGGCAAGGGGAAAATTACTCCATGTCGCTTAGCTGACTCTTATTTGTCAACAAACACGCGAAGTGTGTAGAAACCTAAACCTTGTATACTGACAAGAAAAGTTATCAGTCAAGATTAATCTAGATTATTTACAGGAGTCGAAATATTATATCAAAAAACTATCTTCTCCCAACTAACATAATCGTCTCTCTTGACCGTGCCCGCCTTCCTCCATATTTTGACAGCGGTAATGTTTCCGCGCGGGATTCTGGTATAAATTCAGTCTCCGGTGACGATTTGTCACTTAGGCTACTCGGACTTGAACCAACAATTTGATCTACTACATCACTTTGCGAGTCAGTTTCAACCTCGGAAAGTGATGAGGTCACTTGTTGCCGCATATTTTTTAGCAGGGGCTGCCGAGGTTGTCGACGCTCTATTGAATCGTACAGCAAGCTGCCAATGTGCGCTTTTATCATTGCGATCTTTTCAGCTTTCTTCCCTTTGAAGGTGATCTTGTGATGGGAAAAGTACAAGGATAGCTCATCCACCCTCAAGGACGACAGCTTATCGGAGTTGTACAGTCCAACCCAGTCAGTGTCATTGTACTCCCCGTTCAGTCGTTCCATTCGCTCCCTTTCAGTCTCCTCTTTCCTCTTCTCCTTACGCATTTTTATCTTGGCAAGGTGCTCAACATACTCTGCCACAAGCTTTTCGGGGACAATGTATTTATCTGAAAACTTTCTAATAGCCTCACTGTCCCCACTGAGTAGTTCACTTTCCTCAAACAATCGCTTAATCTGAGCTCGAGGCTGGAAGTCGTCCGGCTCACGACCATTGGTGGTGGTTGCACTCCAAGAGAGATCGTGGAAGTTTGGTAGCTTGCCATAGTCGGGATATGGTCGTCGAGTTGGAAGTGGAGCGCTGGTAGCCTCATCCTCCTCGCAAAATTTACATAGTTGGCCACTTCGCTCTTGACACGACATTCGCTTACACTCCATATATGGCTATCCTTTCTCACAATGGAAGCTCTCAAATTGTTCTAGCTTGAAAAAATACCCATGCCCCGGAACAGAACTCTTTTGATTGTTGGTGACTCCAAGATACTCACGGTTGTAGAAAAATTGATTTTCCGGTCGGTCGACCAAAAATGCCGAAATAAACCCACGTAGCACTGTGGAGTCGTCAATTCGACACACTTCCTCACCAACAGCCCACGCATCTTTTCCATGACTTTACTGCTGTGTGCGTCTAGCTCTGACGTTGAAAGAGACTTAACTTCCTCTTGAGAAAGTCCATGCAGAGGCGGTTATGTGAGTAACACTTCCAGCTAGTTATTTTCCCTTCCGGTTATTTTTGTCTTGAAGGACGTAGGGGGAGGGTCAGATGTTTTTGTGTAGGTATTTGTGGAGCTTCATGCATTCTTTTTTCGCAAAAAATTTCTAAAACACCCCGACCCCCCCCCCCTCATTAAAAAACGTACCTTCCCTAATAGTAATGGTTCGACGAAACCGTAATACACTCATATCTTTAAACCAATACACTCCTCTTGAGTCAATTTTTTGTCCGATTCCTTCAGGTACCATTATTTTATTTTTGTTTTTCATTTTTTTCACTGCCCATGAGTATTCTCCCGAGGACTGAATCACGACTCCCACATGGCTTTTGACATTTCTCATAGTGTGTATGTATTGGTATGCAAATTAATCCGATGACGTCGCCATTAATGACGCAGGGGGGGGGGGATGTAAAGCCTTGAAATTGATTGGCCCATTATTGTATGTAGTTGTGTATTCTTCTCCGACCTACAGTTTTGCTTTACCCTCCAAGACATTCCCAAAAACTAAATTATTATTGTAATAGTAGATGCCGTGGTACACATGAGCAGAAATGGTTATGATTCTAAAATCAGGGTACAATATGTCATTACAGTACACATGTACAGAAAGATATCATTACATGACCAGTAATAGAAGAAGTGCAATATTATCTCAAGTTAATCACCTGAAGAGCATGTTTGGAAGCTGCATATGCCGCCACATAAGGGACTGGTGCTGCAAAACAAAGTCAACAAATTAACATAATGCTCAATGTGCTGTGTTATCTAAAAATTAGGGGACAATATTTTATTAAAATGCCTTGTGAGAATTGTGCAAAATATAGAGAATTTCAAAGTGTAAACACTTTGGTCGCATCCTTCTGAACAAACTGGGAAGACAATATTTGAAAGATATTTTCGATATCCCTGCAGAGTATCTAATGGATTTGTGACACCATTTCAAATACCATAGAATGGCCTCAAAAGTCTGTCCCACAAATCAAACACAAACTGAACCTCAAGCTCCAAAAGTAATGAACCAATCACTGGTGTGAGTGAGTGGGAAATTTGAACCCTGCCTGGGTGGGGTGAGAATTTGAACCAAAAGTGTCAGGCCCTTCCAGCAGAATACACCTGTTTCTTCTTTTAAGATGGAGGTGTTTATTGGTAAAGCATGCACTTTTGCAAGAACTTGGTTCAGAAGAAAAGGTCTTCTAGAAAGTCAGGGCTCCTGATCTTACCTGTTGCAAAAAGATTGACCATCAAATCTAGTAATTGGGTACAGCATTTGAATGAAATTTTGGCCCAGGGGATATGAATGAACCAGTCTTCAAAAGTTCAGATGCCCTGGGGAAGGAGAGGAGGAGGAGGGAGGAGAGGGAGGAGGAGGAAAAGGATGCCAAAGCTTCAAATTGATTGGCACATAAGAGGTGATTATATATTGATCCATGTGTCAGACAAACTTGCATTATGTGCAGTGTTCTCTGTTCTCAAGTATATTATTACTTAGGGGGAGGGGGGAATGTCTATATTGTACCAAGAGGAATGCAAATCACTCATTTTTGTCTTGCTCATATAATGGATTCTGGGAAAAAAATTTTATATATATCTTTCAGTTGTCAAGTTACATCACAGGTGGTCTTGGTTGACGAGAAAGGGCATTTCTCAATGCCAATGATAATGAAGAAAGGTAAATCCTTCATTATGTTCATGTTTTAATGCAGAATTTTCAGCATTTTTATACCCCCTCTCCCCTCCCCCCCTGCCATGAGATATCAAACTTACCACTTTTCCCAGAGGCACTACTTATTACAACAATTTGACCATTCCTGTTTTGAACCATGTGAGGCAGAACAGCTTTGGTGATAGAGATTGTCCCTAGTACATTTGTGTTCAGTACTGGGAAAACTACATCAAAATCACAATCCATTGATAAACCCATCTGCAAAATTCCTGCATTGTTCACTAAAAAAATCAATCTGCAATTTAACAGAAAGTACATATATATGCTTTAAGTCAAAAAATAAAGTCAGTAACAGAACACATCCATACAAAGATCTGCTGTAACAAGCTGAACCAAGAGCCATTACCATATATTTGGCGTTGAGGAATCCAGATTAAAAGGTACAAGACTCAGTTCAAACTCTAGCCAGATCATTATGTTGTGATATCCATCAAGAGACTTTACTCTCAGTGCCTCTCCTCACTTGAGTTTATTAACCCCATTACACTCATATATTAACCCTTTAAATCCCATGTGTGATCAAGACAGAATTTCTCCTTACAATATCAATACAACATCAACCAGATAAGTAATGAGAATAAAGAAAAATATCAATTTGGGGATAATTACTTGATCCAATACTAAATTCTCTGAACTAGCATTATAAGAATTGTATGGTTGAAAGTAAGGAGAATTAAAAATTTTATCTGGGAGTTAAAAGTGTATATTCTCCATACTGTTGTCTACATATCTCTTAAGATTCTGGTAAGGAGAATTTTTTAAAACAATCAGGAGCATCTATAGTTCGTGATAATTTCCTTTATTGGAATGACCTTACAGTGGATTCAGGGCTGCTAGTGAAAAGTAAAAGAAATTAGATGCTAGTTACTCTCAGGGGTTAAAGTGTTAACATGGTACTAGCAGACACAAAGTAAAACTTGACAAATTGCTGGTGGGCAACCTGTGGTGAAGTAGCATCCCTTTTAGGAGAAGCGACTATACAATGTGACCCATTGAGTCTTGGCTCGTAAGTCTTCACTGAGAAGATCTCACACTCTGTCTATCTTTTAGAAGACCAAAGGAAGAAATATTCAGCTTGAGGTCATAATGCATGGATAGTAATCCAAATATTATCCATCTGGCCCAACTGAACTCAGTCAATGCAGGCTCTACCAAACATGTATTAAAACCCCTTTTCTTTTTTTACCTTTCCTCTTTCATCACCCATCTTCTGGGGTGGTACAGCTACTCCTAGCCCTGTTTGTGTGATCACTTGATACCCTCATACAAGGATCATTTTTCATAATAGTTGTCTATTTAAGTGTACAATTGGGACCATACAGGTCCTATATGATGGAATGTTTTTACGTCATATCAACCCTTAAACTCCCAAGATCTGATTGTTAATTCTCCCCTCTAGCAGCTACACATTTCCTTGTAAATAAGTTATGAGAATTTAGTGCTACATGTAGATCATGATAACAACTTCTACCTGATAAGTTGGAGTTTTCTCAATACCTGTTTGCAGTATAATGTGCAGACATTACAGGGAGAAATTCCATGTGAATCATTTTGGGGAGTTAAAGGATTAATGGCCATTAAGTCACCATGTCTATGCTGTGATTCAATTTTATCCTTGGTTCAAATTTTGTTTTCTTTTGTTTTGGGGTATTGTAATGTATGATCATGCGTTTGAAACAAAGGAAAATAAATTTGAACCAAGGATAAAATTGAACCACAACATCTACACGCCAATATAGCACCAGAAGCATTCATTTAACATCAACCACCTCAGGTAGACTGCCTTAAAATTACCTTGCCAAACCTGTGAAGAGCTTTAGCTACACTGTCTTCATGGGTTGAGAAATTTGTAATATCCAGTGGTAAGACAAGAAAATCTTCCTCAAATGTCAATGGAAAAAGCTTTTGGGCCAAACCTATGCAGCAAGAAAAGAAAAGCTGTGTTTATACATAAAATATACAGTTGAATCCCAACTAACAGCACCATTCTAAAGTGGCAAATTCTTTAAATTAGCAAACAGTTCATACACTGCTTCTTCACACTCTCCACAATGGCCACCTATCTCTATGGCAACACCTTAAGTGTATACCAACTGTCAAAACAACCTCTCTGCACTGAACACTTAATGACAGTTTTAAAGGTTGCCCAAGAATAAAAGTGAGAAGCCCTTGGTACCTGGGTAGTGTCTCTCTGGAAAGCCCTGCGTAACAGAAATAATTTAAGGCAACCTTTAAAAATGCCACTTGACCTCTGATCTCTCCTTTTTCTGCCAAATTGGTGAACCTTTCACTCACAATTTGTAAAGAATAGTTCTCTGCACTTTCTGCCATACATTTTTTTTTTGTCATTCTCAGGATTTCAGTAAAACTTTTCCATAAGCAGCTACCAAGAGAGTGATAAGGGGGCTGTGCCACTAAAGGGGGCATTAACCCTTAACCCCTAAGAGTGACTGGCATCTAATTTCTCCTTATCATATCACCCCCAAATCAAACATTAACATGCACACCTTTCACTGCTCTTTTAACAGCAATTATCATAACTATAATACACGATCCAAGCGAAATATTCGTAAATCTTCCGCACATAGAAGATGGGGGCACTGGATAACATCAAATTTTGCAGCGGACGCTTGGAATGCCTTACCCCTTTCCCTAAGAGATGTGCCCACCTTAAGTCAATTTAAGCGTGGTATCAAGAAAGCTTTATTTTAATTTTTTTTTAATGCAGCACTAGTTTAATTAAATTAGTGTTAATTTTTTAATATAATGTATGTTTTTCTGTTTTATTTTTCGATTGTATTTATATTTACATTTTTACGTAATTATATTGATTTGTAGTTACCTTTAGAGGACCCTTCTGTAAACCACTCTTTCTGTGATGTTGGCATCCTCAATAAAGATTAACTATTATTATTATTATTATTATTATTAACGTCAGGAGAATAAAGGAGCTGATCACCATCTAAAGAAGCTCTTGATTCTTGGACAAATTCTCCATGTCAACATCTTAGGAAATGTTTAGAGAACAGTATGGAGAATATGCATACCTATGTTTGAGAGGGTTAAGGCAAATTCTGAACATGAGAGCCTGCTCGCAGGCTGAACAGATGGCAATAAGAGAGGTCTTTTAAGCAGCCATAGACCACAGTAACCTGCATTCTTGACTCTGAGAACTAGTAAATCAAACAATATCTCTTATTTATATCTTTCTTTTTCTTAGCCACCTTTTCTTTTGAAAATGAAATGACATTGTAAAGAAAAATGATATCTTGGTGACATCTAGGAGTGAAACTGTTTAAAAGTACAGAACCATTCCTCTCCCCTTATTCCGACCACTTTTCTCCTTCCATTTGTGAACTGCAAACAAAGCTTGTTGAGTTTACTGAAATGCCTAACAGTAACACTTACTCAGGCACTGATTTTTCACTCTGTCTAATTCGTCTTTTCTCCTCGCTGATAGCACCAGTTTGCAGCCCAGTTCAGTTAGCTTGTACGCTAAATGTTCGCCGATTCCACTCGATGCACCAGTGATCCAAATTACTTTACCTCGTAATCTTCTTTCCGGTGGCTTTGCAAATCTTTCGTAGAAATGTAGTATTGCATCGCAATCAGCAAAGTAAATCCTCAAGATATGCAAAACGACAAATAGAACGACACTTATTTCAAAGAAACCCAACACTTCCATCGAAGCAATAACCAACTGTAGCCTAAAGTAGATTCCGATGTTTTCCAATTAAATGGGAGGCCTGGGTCTTAAAACGATAACGACCACAGGCAGCCTAGGGTTACAGGAAACCCACTCTCGTGACTTTTACTATGCAATTAAATTTTGTAAGAAAATGACTACTCACATGGTCCAACATTCGCAATATTTTTAATCAGAATGAAGTGTATTCTAGCTAATGATATCTATAAAGCTATGATATGTTCCATTGTGTCTAATACCATCATTTTGTTACCTAAGCAACATCTCGGATAGCCACACTTATTCCACGACTGTTTCCTTCTGCGTCCCAATTCGTTCATTTTAGGATCTTGAGCCATGTATTTCCGCTTGTATCGCTCAATACTCCACAAACTAAAGGAAATACTTTTATTTGCGAGTTTAACAAGAGGAGAACACCCTAAATTGGCTTACATGTACGGCTATTAACTAGTCTTTGGTGTTGAAGTTTGGAAGCCTTAGGTAGTCTTTAGTTAAGCCTACAAATTGGTCGTTAGAGTCGTACATGGTGAGTACCTCTGGTTTAATTCAATATCCCAAAGACCAGATGTAAAAATTATGAACATTGAACTGCTTTTATTGGGGACTTGTGTTTTATCGATCAAAATGTTAACTGACATGTTTACGAAAGAAAAAAAAATTAAAAGAAGCATATCAAGCTACACTTGATCTTTGGTATTACTGATATCACTGAAACTCAGTCAGCGACGGTAAGCATGGCATTTGCTTGGGTTTTGGTCGCTGATTTGAACACAGCGGTCAAACTTCTGCCCAGATTTCTAGTATTGTTTTAATTTTTTTTCGCATGTTTTGCGCAACAGTACATGTAGTTGTTTCTCAAGCTCTCCTTTGAAAATTTTGCGCGGGAAATTGGTGAAGCTGGCCAAGATTGATTCTCAAGCCCATGCTCGACGTTTGACAGCTGTGTTGTGGTCTCGTAAAAAATTTCCCTAAAGAGCTTGAAAATGGGTGAAAAGTAAAATGTACAACCATCAGTTCCGCGAGTAGGGTGTCAAATGTTGGGACTACAATATGGGTGCAAGCTGGCATCGCGCGTCCAATTTGAATACACAGAGAGAAAAAGAAATGTTGTTTTGAGTTTTGATCATCATTTTCGAGACCATAAAGACGCATTTGCGAGGTTTCGCATACCACAGGCTACCCAAGTTCCAGCTGTTAGATGATCATCTTGCGAAATAAGAGTCATGGCGAAATTATAAGAGTTTGTATGGGAATGCTTGCGAACGCTCTTGTGAATAAAAAAATACAGTCAATTCTCAATAAAAATACCTCACTTTACTTCCACAGTGCATCGCTTGTTATCTGACCATTTACTATGTTGAAAAGAACCCATTTTAGCGAGTTATCCATTTTTAGGTTTACTACATAAGGGGGCTTCAAAATTGGCAATCGAAAAGAAACTTAAATTTTAATCCCAGCACAATAAAGTTAAATTATATTTACAGTTTTAAAAGCAAAAACTAAACACAATTAATTTAGGTAAAGTATTTGAATTTTGGACTGAGTGGTTACTCAGGGATCCAACGGTCAAGTTTCACGTCCGTTTCCGGTTTTTCCACTGTACCCACCTACATAAAAAGGGCAATTAAAATAGTCAATCAATGAATAAATAAGTGATTTGATATAAATTAGGAAAAAAAGGCCACACGTCAATAAATTCAATGAATCATTCCATGCAAAAAAACACAATTTACAACTAAAATTTTCATGTAGAGTTAACAGTGGTTCTGCTGCACCCACGAGGAGATAATTCTCAAAACCCACCAATTATGTAGTGAAAAAAAGGTCAAAAACATTTCCATAAATAGTTCCACTAAAAAAGGGGACATACAAGGTAAGTTAAAGTGGAAACTTCAGAATTTTCAAGGACTGAAATAAAAATGCAACCAAAGAGCCCACTTTGTAGCATAAAGCACAGAAAAACGACCAAGTCGCATCTGGTACAAGTATTCCACCTGATTGGAGGATGTATAATTACATTTTACACCAATACCATAGTGTACTGGGAGACAGGAGAGGCAATACAACAGATGTAATACAACTGCTATAGCTTATAAATTATCTTACCAGTTCCCAACAAGTGGTAGATACTGTGCAAGATACAATTCTACCATTCGTTTTGGAATAGCAATCCACACTTCATTCAAAGCATTTGCCATGGCAATAATAATAAGATGCACGCATCGTTCTGTTTTGATGGTTGTCACAGGAAAGACTTGATCCCTGCGAGTCTGTAAAGTGAACAAAAAGTTTTTTTTTTAAGTCATACAATTGTGCAAGAGAGAGATGTCCTGAGATGTTCTGTGGAATAATGAAAACTTAGAAGATTTGATGTCTTAGCTTAATCATCTTTTGCTAGAGTTTTTCAACTGAGTATCTCAAAACCAAAACCAAATGAATCACAACAACCAATCAGAACACAGGTTAACCCTTTAATTAAGATCCCATATCAACATGTATATTCCTGTCACTGTTCTCTGTATGTTTCTTATTTTACTGATTGAGAGAATTTGTTCAAACATCAAGACAATTCATCTTTGGTGATCATTTCATTTATTCTCATGATCTATACATTTGATTAGGTAGTGATATTGTTGGGAGAAATTAGATGCTGGTCACTATTGGGGCTTAATGGGTTAAAATCACCATTACCCAATGAGAACTCAGAGTAAAACAATCAATCTCCTTGAAGTGTGGGAAAGTGCAAGTTACCAAGTTGGGATTGATTTAAGTTTTGCATCTGATTGGTTGAGAGGCACCTGATCCTAACCAAGGGAGGGGGGGGGGGAAGGAATGAGTCAGCTATGAAGGAGACTTTGAATGTGCATATTTAACAAATAGATTCCAAGTTGCTGTGCATCTGTTCAATAATAGATCACAGATGACGTCAAAATGTGGTAAGAACAAAAAAGTGGCACACAAGGCCCAGCTGAGTGTGTCACTGATGTTCTTACCACATTATGACGTCCTCTGTGATCTATTACTGAACAGATGCATGGCAAATTGTAATCTATTTGTTTTATATAATAAAGAATTAAAAAAAGTTTTAATGATGATGTCATCTATACATCTGTCCTCCAATAGATCATATGTGAGAACCAATCAGAATACATGCATAACTGAGCTTATTACATAATAAAACATAGCGAGGGCAAACCAACGTTTCCCCTTGATTTGGTTCAACCATGCTTTTATTTTATATAATAAATAATAGTATGAAAGCTGGATTTAATTAACATACCTCAATATTCTCTCGATACGCATTTTTTAAAATGTTTGAATATACTAGGCCAGGGCATATCATTGTGACACCAACATTCTTTTCATGGACTTCTGTGCGCAAAGTATTGAAATAACCCTGTAAATGATACAAGTACATTTATTACATACTGGACAGTAATTTTGTTCTAATTTTATAAGCTTTAAAAAAGTAACTGGAGATTTTTCCCTGTAGGAAGTTTACCCCTACAACCTATACAAGTTTGCCCCCTGAAGTAAAAACAATCAGCCCCAAATCATTAATTCACAAAAATTTAGCCTGTAGAGCAGGTGTGATTTTGGCAAGCAAGTGCTAAGTAATTTCATAACAAAAGTTATGGTCCTCATCTTTGATTTTAATGGCAGTGGGAGGCTGGGGAAAGAAAGAAATTTGTACCAGGGGGGAGGTTGATGGTCAAAAATAAGGAGAGGGGTGGGGGTGGGGAGTAAAGATTAAACATGGCCAGTAAGATAAATGATGGCATGCTTATAATGTTAGCTCACCATTGTTTGTCTAGTACCATTTAACTTCCAAGATCTGATTGTTAATTCTCCCCTCTAGCTGCTACACATTTCCTTGTAAATTAGTTATGAGAATGTGGTGCTAGATCAAGATAGTAGCTTCTACCTGATAAGTTCAAATATTCTCTTTACCTGTTTCCTGAATAATGTTTGGAAAACATAGGGAGAAGTTTCATGTTAATTACTTCTAGGAGTTAAAGGGTTAACCTTCGTTCACTTTCCAGAAGTCCTGGAAAAACTTGTTAGTCTGTCCCAAGTGTAATTCTTATTACATGGTTGACCTTACAACCTTTTTTTTTATTTATTTATTTATTTTTTGTACTGAATGGAAGATAGGAATGATTGAAACTCAGAGTGCTTTGAGTTTCATTAAGAACTTGTTCATATCAGCCCAAGTCTATGAGCAGCCAAACTTGATCAGAATATGTCCAAAAACATATTAAATATTTCATTAAGAAGTCATGAAAAGTGGACACAATACCTGCCTGTAATGCTTTTGTGTATTTGGTAATATATATCATATAATCAGTAACAGAAACAGTGCAATAGGTCAGTTCTAGTCAATCACCTGAAGAGCATGTTTGGAAGCTGCATACACAGCTGTATTAGGTCCTGCTGCTGCAAAATGAATACCAGCTAATTAATATCCTGCTTGTCTTGAGGTGTTCATCAAATATAAAAAGAAAAATGTGTTACCATGATAGTACCTTGTGCAAATAATATAACACACTTGGCCTGCAACTTATACATGTAGTGCATACAGGGAAGATGAAGTTCATTAGATATTCATAATTTCTCTACTCAACAACTGACAGGTTCAGGGAATTATTTTCCAGTAAAATGGGATAGCTTAAAACAACTGTCAACAACATAAAACACAAACTGAGTCAAAAGGGACCTCAAAGCCCAAAAGTAAAAAGTGATCTTAGCCATGTGTCAAACAAAGTTACATGTGCTACGTGTTCTCTGTTCTTCAATAAAAAAATTTTTGCTTGCAGAGATATTCTCGTAGAACTACAAAATTTTCTGTTTCCCTTTGGAGTGCAAATCCTTAAATTTTGTTTTGCTTACTCAGCGAATTCACTTTTCTGGATAAACACATGCAATCTTTCAGCTTTTATGTTAAAATTTAACCCTTTAACTCCCATAAGTGACCAAGACATAATTTCTCCTTACAATATCAACACAATATCAACCAGATAAGTGCTGATAATTCATTGATCCAATACTAAATTCTCTGAACTATCATTATAAGAATCGTATGGTTGACAATAAGAAGAATTACAAATTTGATCTGGGAGTTAAAGGGTTAACACCCTTGTTGATGATCTAGGCACATAAGGAAAAATATGTATAAATTTTCCATGAACTCCACCCATGCTAGACTCAAAATGTGTATCTGTGCTCAAGGTGGTATCATATAAGGGCTGAGAAAAGGTAAAGCCTGCATTAATGCTTTAATGCAAAATTTTCAGCATGTGTGGCTGCTCTTTTCTCATGAAAAGTCCCCTCTCTCCCTTCCCTCCCTTCAGAATGATATATTAAATCCTTCATTACGTTTATGTTGTAATGCAGAATTTTCAGCATGTTTATTTTACTCCAACCCACCTCCCTTCTCCTCTTTGCCCCTCTCTAGAGTGAGATATTAAACTTACCACATTTCCCAGAGGCACTACTTATTACAACAATTTGACCATTTCCTTCTCCAATCATGTGAGGCAGAACAGCTTTGGTAAGAGAGATTGTCCCTAGTACATTTGTGTTCAAGACTGAAATATCTACATCAAGATCACTATCCACTGATGAACCCATCTGTAAAATTCCTGCACTATTCACTAGAAAATCAATCTGCAATTAGGAATACATAGTACATGAACGCCTTGGGTTGAATATCATTGAAATCTACAGCAGAACACATCAAAGCAGAGATCATGACCTTGCCAAACTGTTGAAGAGCTTTGGTAACGCAGTCTTCGTGAGAAGCGAAATTTGTAATATCCAATGGGACAACAAGAAAGTCTTCCTCAAATGTTAATGGAAAAAGCTTTCCTGCCAAGCCTATGTAACAAGAAAACAAAGACTATTATTTATAGTTATAATATATAACTGAACTTCAATCATTTTTGGAGCAACTGCAGAATACCCTGCCACTTTGGTCCACCTCATTTACATGTGTCGGTAGATTTTGAAGATCGAGGCATAACACAATAAACTTATTCAATGACATGTAAGTGAGTCGCCTTCTTTTGGTTTGAAAATTTTCTGAAATTGTTTTGAGAAATTAATGGGAGTAAAAAAAATTCTTAAGCTCCCGTCCCCCCACGCGACTGCTTTCCCTCACCTCGTGTAGAAAGAAGTTTTAAAAACTAAAATAACTTAGAGCAAAACTTACTCATGCACTGATTTTTCACTCTGTCTAATTCGTCTTTTCTCCTCGCTGATAGCACCAGTTTGCAGCCAAATTCAGTTAGCTTGTACGCTAAATGTTCGCCGATTCCGCTCGATGCACCAGTAATCCAGATCACTTTACCTCGTAGTCTTTTATCCGGTGGCTTTGCAAATCTCTCGTAGAAATGTAGTACTGCATCGCAATCGGCAAAATAAATCCTCAAGATGTGCAAGACGACAAACAGAAAAACACATATCTCGAGGAAACCTATCATTTTCGATAAGATATTGGTTAAGGGTGGACAGCGAGACAGGTTTCGTGGACACTAATGACTGACCAAATGGGAGACCTGGGTCTAAAAGATCACAGGGCACCCAGGTGTTGAAGTGGGGAAGTAAGAGCAACAGAATGACTTTACCAAAGTAAGTCTCTTGACGGCATGACTTGTATTTTTCTAACTTCTTGAAATGTCTGGTCACTTGCCCTTATTTTTACGAACGTTTGGATTGTTTCTTATAGCTTTGCGCGACACCTGTTTTCCTTTGTAATGTTTCACAGGAAATTGGCGGGGTCGGCCAAAAATGATTCACTTGGGTATGCTCCACGTTTGACTGCTGTGTTGCGGTCTCGTTAAAAATTTGCCCTCAGGAGCTACGAAATGGATAAGTAAGACAACGAAATTTACTCAAAGAACTGTGGAAGTTGCATTCGGACTGAGCTTGTTTAATTTTGGATCAACAAAACACCAAACAAAGCACAAACAACTGGCTATCACCATGCAACGTTGGTCATCTTAATAATTTCTTAGCCGGCATAACAAAAAAAGTCAACCTGTGGGGTCTGTTTTAAAAGAATGAAGAGCAAATATCGAAAAATATCAAACTAGAAGTTCGGTTATTTGTCTCCTGGAGGTACGTTTCACATCATGAACGCAAAAGTTAAATCTGAATTTTAAAAGTAAAGAAAACCGTTTCAAGTTTGATGTCAAACGTTACATCGAAATTTACATGTAAGAAACACAAGCTGTTGAAGATTGTCGGGTAATCAAAACATAACATATCTGATATCTTTTTTTAATTACTTCTTATTCTTCTGTTGGTCTCTGTTATCAATGCAGGGCTACACGCAGAGACACTCTCAAAATGCAAACTTTTTCTAAGAGAATACTTCGTTGGTTGATTTTTGCAACGATTCCCAACATTCGCAACATGGGCGAGGGAAGAACTCGGGAATAAAAAGGTAACAGAAATCATGACAAAGAAGGAGAGTAGTTCGAGACAAATAAGATTTTCACTGTGAAACAAGAAATCGGTCAACAGAAGACCGCAGATGTCCTTGAGACAAAAATGTTTTACATTACTCGGAAGACAAAGAGAAAGTTAATATCTAAGTTTGCAGCTATCTGACAACAAAACTTTTTCGTGCATAATGCCGAAACTGTGCAATTTGAACTGCTATATACAGTGGAACCTCGATTTAACGAAATGCCGAGAAGGTGGCAAAACTGGTTCGTTATATTGAGGGTTCGTAATATCGAAAACTTCGATTCAACGAATTTGCGTAAAAACAACCAAATTGTTCGTTATATCGACGGCTGGATGACAATTTTTTTCTATTTTTTTAAATCAATAAAATTTTTTTGTGGTGTGCTGTTACGCTACTCAGCATTTTTGTGTTAGTCTTCAGACGCTATTGTATAAAGATAAGGTTTTCGTGCACAACTGAACTCTCGTAGAAGGCACAACAACAATGGGGGAAAAATAGCTCTGTAGAGACAACTCGGCAGTGAGAACGGAAACTCGTCACGATTTCCTAGTACACAGCGATCTACTTCAAGCGAGCTTTTACGGACGTCAAGGATAAGACAGCGTTTTAGTTCCACGGTAGACTTTTTTACTAAGTCAGGCCAACAACTGACATGACCTTTAGTATACTCAACTTCGTAATCAATGTAATCGGCACGCAGTCGTCTATGTAATCGAAAAAGCTTTACAATGTACTTGCTTAAGTATGAACTGGTGTGAGAATTGTCAAATTAATGAAGAGGATTCAATAAACTCTAGGCCATTAAAAGTGGGAAACTGAGGTGAGAATTCACAGCTCTGATATTGAAAATATACCTCTCTTAATTAAAGTAGAACAGCTTAGGAAATAAAAGTGGAAAAGCAGGTAAAAATTTCGGCTTATCTATGCAAATTTCAGCTTATCTATGCAAGGTTGGTGTGGGAAATTATCGTATGAAAGGAAACTGAAATTACGAGAAAAAACTCAGCTGCCAACTACCATGAGAGCAAATTTTTTCAGAAAAACCATTAAAAATTATATTTACCTAAAAAAATTTCACAGACAGTGGTCAACAAAAGTACCGACATGTAGCTGTAAAATGAAAGCAAGCAACAAAACAAGAATCTCTTAGTTTACTACTCAAAAACCACTGGGCTTTTATATATTTTTTGATTTACTTAGACTGAAAGAACTTGAATGAACTCGAATAAAATAAAAATGGTTGAATATGAAAAGTTTACGAATAAATATATTCCAAACAACCATATAGAAAAATCAATATATTTTCCCGTAATAATCGAGATGGTAAGTTCTTATCTTAAATTATTTTAGTACTTCATATGCGTGATAAGGGTAAATTTTGAAGGCTCGTTGATTAAAATTTAAGGGTTTGATAACATCACGTTCAGGCTTCATGGCTTCGTTCTGGTTGGTTAATTTGGTTGGGGCAGATGTTAGCCAAACTCAGAATGCTTATGTACTTTAAACAGTAGGATGTGACTCCGCTCTAAAAAAATGGGAAAAACAAATTTAAAGAGTCGATGTTATTTCAAAATTTATCCTCGGGTCAAGTAAATGGAAAAGTTAATTATCCGGCTAAGTAAACTGACTTTATTGTGGTTTGATAAACAGGTTCTCACAGTCCATCAACTTTCTGTGGTCGTTTGATTCCACTACGATCAAAGAACTGTTTAATTATCCTGCATCACTGCTGAAAATGAAACAACATTTTGAGTTAGCTCGCACGTTATCGTTTTTCCTCTGGGGAAGTTATCTTTTCCACTGTACCACTGCTTCAGAAGGTAAATAACCTAATGAAAGTGTCTACGAAGTTTCCGTGCTAAATTTGCTTTAATTATCAATCTGGGTCACTCGATAAATTCTCGAGGTTTTGAGAGGATAGACAACCTTTCCCTTCAATATCTCAAGTATTTGTATCTGAAGATGTTAATTAAGCACCTGTTCTTCCAGGGGCTGGATTTTTCTGAACGTAAGATATTTATTTTGTCGTTAGAAGACGTATTTGTGCTTATTTTTTTACTACTGGATAAACTTTTAGAATGCGAGTACACGTACCCTCTTGGCATGGAAAACGGTGCAATATCTGACAGTCAAATTACCGCCTCTTCCCAATGGGACAGCAGTCTTAGCCCCAAAAATGGCAGACTACATCATGAACAAGGCCCCGAAAAAGGAGGAGCCTGGTCAGCGAGGACAAATGATGATAAACAGTGGCTGCAGATTGATCTAAGAGATCAACAGACCAAAGTTACTCGCGTAGGAACGCAGGGAAGGAATATAAATCTTCAGAGGGTTACAAAGTACAAACTGCAGTATGGTAATGATGAAGGAAGCTTCCAATACTTCAAGGAAGAAGGACAAAGTGCCGATAAAGTAAGATTGCAAATTTCATGCGAATGTTCTCAGAACGTATACTTCCATACATTTGTTCGTGCATGCGTCTTTTCGCCAGAGTAATTAAAATAATTTTAAAATGTGTATAAAAAGAAAGATTATCAAGTGGACCACATGTACATAAGGTTTTGATATCCTTAGCAAGATCAGTTGGAAGCATGAATGAACCGAGCGTACTTGACAGCTTAACTAGAGGAAAAGCTCTCAAAAAGAGAGTTAATTGCTCTTGTTAACCCCTTAACACCCAGAAGTGATCAACACTTAACTTCTCTCCTTAATATCCATACATTATCCATCAAGCAGTTCAAGAGAATACTCAGACAAACTTATCAGATATGAGTTTTTTATCATGATATGACACCAAATTCTCATAATTGTTATTTACATGGAAATGTATTGCAGCTATTAGGGAGAATCACCGATCAGATCTTGGGAGTTAGAGTGTTGATCAAAACTGGCAGGTCTAAGCTGCCAATTCTTGAATTTTATCCACCATCAGTAAATATTTTCAAGGGTTGATTTATTATTAATTCTTAATTTATCCTATTAAGGAGTTTAATGGAAACACGGACAAAGACACCGTTGTGGTAAACGTTTTAATCCCACCAGTCACTGCGCGCTACATTCGTTTCCGACCGGTAGCTTGGAATCGCCATATTTCAATGAGAGCAGAGCTGTACGGCTGTCATAGAGGTAAACGAAAATTGCTGTTTTTAATTATTCAATCTACTGCCGTAACACCACTTAGCTTTTAGTATGCTCCAGGCCCTGAGTCAGAGGAGGCAAGTGAAAGCAGGCGAACAACAAATCGAGCCAGTAGTCGTCAGGGACATGGCTCCCTAGTTTGTTTGTATTTTTTTTTTGTTTTTTTGTTCTGGAGAACATCTGCTAATTTTTGTACGCCGGCCTTCCCATCTATTTCCATTTAGTGAAAGGATGGTAGAGGCAGCACTTCTGTTTAAAAAAAGGATTGGTGAACAATTCTTTGTTCCTGGTTGCGCACCATAGCACTGATGCCCTTTGGTATAGTAATGGAGGCCACAACTCAATCGTGTGCTGTTGCTATCCATGCCACTCTTCTTGAAATAGAAAAAGTGACTGAAGAGTTTAAGATGTGAAAGGAGTCCTACATGAAAAACAAACAGAACATTTGATAAAACTTAGTAGTCAGAATTGTACAACTTGCTTAGGAGGCGCTCGCTTTCTTTTTTTAACTTGCTAAAACAGCTCTTTTTATATATAAAAAAAAAAAAAAATATGCACGCCGAGTGCAAAAATCATCTCAGCTCGAAACTCATGTCACAACAACGTTTACAACCGGTATGTTTACTTTTTGAGTCTTAAACAATCATAAGTTTCTCACATGATCAGTAACTAATTGAGGACAACGCGTTGATGATTTCGTCAGGTTCACTTCGTTTTATACATATATTTTTTAATTTTTTTTACTCCCATCGTTGCTTAAATATCACTATTTATCCCACTTCTTTGCAGATTCCTGCCGATCTCTGAAATTTACCCCATCAATAGATGGCCGCGCCCTCGTGGGTCACGTGATTAAAAACATTACTTTGCACGTGGGTATGCGTCATTCCTGTAGAGGAAAGTGTGTAATTGATAATAGCTGCGCATCATTTAACATCGGTCCATCAATAAACGATCAAGTGCTATGTCAGTTGAGCGATTCTGATCACGTTAGACATCCTGAAGATCTGAAACCACGAGATGGGTTTATCTACACTGCTACTGAGGTAAGATTACCGAAAAAATCACGTACACCTCCATGTAATTCTGCAGATTGTCTGATGACAGAGCTGAGAAAGAGGATCACTAGTCGAAAACTTTTGTTGGATCACGGAGAGAGACAAAAGCATGCAAACTTAAACAACGGCGAAGTTTTCCGCCCTGGGTAAGAGGTTAGTGGTGTGGTCAAGGTTACAAATTAAGTTACAGAGCTTTTCACCCCGAAAGCCAGCCATGTTGATACTCTGCTGCGAAGTAACGTACACAAATGTAGTTCGATCCCAAAAATGTACCAACTTCAGTCCTCACACTTTGGTGAAAAGCTTAGACCCCCCTTTTTTCCTCTGTTAACTGAAATTAAATGGATGGTCATCAGCGTTAAGTTTTCATCGTTTTGAAAGCATCTGGATTGATTTATCAGCAGGATAACAAGAATTAATTTTAGAAGATAGCTCACGCTGGTACTTCAAGTAATCAATGAAACCATCTAGGTGGAGGGGTTGTGATGTAACTTTTTTTCCCCTCATCGGTTTTATAAAGAGCTTAGGATAATTTATCCTTCACCTTTTTTGTACCTATCAGAGCCCTTGCACCAGTAATCCTTGCATGTTTAATGGGACGTGCCTGAGGGGATTTACATATAAAAAATACCTCTGTGTGTGTCAAGATGGTTATTGGGGAGAAAACTGCGTAAGAGGTGAGGCGTACTGCGCATGCTACACAAGACTCAGTTTTGTTCGACATAGTGGCGAAATAAGTGAGCATGCTTGTAACGCGCGAGAAATTTTACGTGTGCAAAGGAATGGAAACGACAGTATTTCTTCAGTATTGCGGAAAAATGGCGGCATTTTAAAAATTTCCATTGTTTGCTTTCATTTTGCAAAACAGATAAGATCCTTGGAAACTTCCCCGTCACATATCTCACTCAACAGAAAAAAATTTTGCAGTCACAGATGTGAATTTATGGACTAAGTTGAGCATCCGTAACACGGTAACGAATTTTGCAGCGACTGCTATTGCCTTTGCTTTCTGGGTAAATTTAAAACTGCTTCCGATGAACTTTAATTTAAAAAACGCTTCTTAACCTTCAGACCTTTCCATAAGAGCAACCTCCATTAATTGTTTCCTTGTTTCACATTAATTACTGTCCAAAAAAGTGTGAAACGGTTTTCTGTTCGTTCATCAACAAAAATCATTCACACTAGAGTCACAAACGCTCCCTGAACGCGCCATATCCGCCGAGCGTGCGCACTCATTCCGCCCCTGTACAGTATCGTTTTGTACCATATATTCAGTGCTTATGAAATATATCCTAATCATAACTCAGTCAGGTAAAATGTGCGACTTCCGGAATCTTTAATTCCTTGACAGACCACCCTTGATTATCACTCAAAGCATTGGACTGATGAAAATGAGACAATTCTTGAACACTTCCTTCTCAAAGATCTGTCTCGGTATATAGATTGACCCACAGCTCACGTTCATTGTCACCATCAAGCAGACCGACTCTATTTACTGGGTCGTGACTCGTGAAAGTCGCTTATTGGTTTACAAGCATCTTTGTAGTATTACTGTGGTGAGGAAGGATTCAGTGCTGAATGCTTTTAGAGGAGAAATGCTCAAGCAAGAATTTCATGGTCGCTGACAATGAAGATGACTGCTTCTCATGCGATTCTAGAATCAGATTTGGTATTAACTGTTTTCCGAACGATAGTATTAAGTGTGGAAATTTTTCCTGAACAGATAATGGCGGAGCAAACATCAGAGCAATGGGCTTCATATAAATGCAGTGACTGAAAAGTGCTCAGATGCCTTTAAAGCTTCTACTATGAAAGCCATTTCCCCCTTGCAAAGAACAGTGTGTTCTCTCATGGTGATTTGATTCCACCCATCTGCATTTATCTGATTCCACCTATATATAGCAATTGATCTTATCTTTTTCACCCCAAGCTAACTTACTGTCATGACGTCTATCAGACAAACACACAGGCATGAAAAGTCCTTCTGATTGTCTCTAGTTTTAAGCCCAGCCACTGATTTTACCTGTTCTCTCCATGGCATGCCCGTACCTTGATTATTCAAAAAATTGTTTCCTTCCGTTACGGAAGAAAATAATATTCAATCAAGTAACAATATTTAAGAAAAAAAGAACCACTTTTCATGACTCTTTCGCCTATTTATTTTCAGCAAATTTCATAAATTCTTACCAAAATTTTCAAAGAGAATTTTCTTTGAACAACGAAAAATTTCAGAAGCTCTTATCCTTACGCGCTCAACGTAAGCACAGTTTCATTCGATCCTTATTAGCTCGCTCTTTTCATGACTCTTTCGCCTATTTATTTTCAGCAAATTTCATAAATTCTTATCAAAATTTTCAAAGAGAATGTTCTTTGAACAACGAAAAATTTCAGAAGCTCCTATCCTTACGCGCTCAACGTAAGCACAGTTTCATTCGATCCTTATTAGCTCGCTCTTTTCATGACTCTTTCGCCTATTTATTTTCAGCAAATTTCATAAATTCTTATCAAAATTTTCAAAGAGAATGTTCTTTGAACAACGAAAAATTTTAGAAGCTCTTATCCTTACGCGCTCAACGTAAGCACAGTTTCATTCGATCCTTATTAGCTCGCTCTTTTCATGACTCTTTCGCCTATTTATTTTCAGCAAATTTCATAAATTCTTATCAAAATTTTCAAAGAGAATGTTCTTTGAACAACGAAAAATTTTAGAAGCTCTTATCCTTACGCGCTCAACGTAAGCACAGTTTCATTCGATCCTTATTAGCTCGCTCTTTTTCATGACTCTTTCGCCTATTTATTTTCAGCAAATTTCATAAATTCTTATCAAAATTTTCAAAGAGAATGTTCTTTGAACAACGAAAAATTTTAGAAGCTCTTATCCTTACGCGCTCAACGTAAGCACAGTTTCATTCGATCCTTATTAGCTCGCTCTTTTCATGACTCTTTCGCCTATTTATTTTCAGCAAATTTCATAAATTCTTATCAAAATTTTCAAAGAGAATGTTCTTTGAACAACGAAATATTTCAGAAGCTCTTATCCTTATGCGCTCAACGTAAGCACAGTTTCATTCGATCCTTATTAGCTCGCTCTTTTCATGACTCTTTCGCCTATTTATTTTCAGCAAATTTCATTAATTCTTATCAAAATTTTAAAGGAGAATATTCCTTGAACAACGAAGATTTCAGAAGCTCTTATCCTAACGCGCTCAACGTAAGCACATTTTCTTTCGATCCTTATTCGATCGCTCAACGGAATACGCAGCTATTGAAGTCGTACTGAGTCTCAAATTCAAAGAGACATAGTAGAGTGCGCCTAGTTCACCCAGAATGTGGCTTTTCGAAGGGTGCTCCTATGACCAAAACAATTTCTGCAAGGAAAATTTCGTTTGAGTCAGTTTTTACAGCAAGCGCAGTGATTGAAAATTTGGCCTTGTAGGAGCCTCTTGTAAGGCGTCCAACAATGAGCTGCCATTTGGACTCAAGAGGAATCCTCTTTCCGTGGTAAACCTCCACATTTCGCTGAGTGGCTGAAGCCACGTAGACCAGATTGGAGGATGCATAATTACATTTTCCACCAATACCATAGTGTACTGGGAGACAGGAGATGCAAAACACATGTAATACAACTGCCATAGCTTATAAATTACCTTACCAGTTCCTGACAAGTGGTAGATACTGTGAAAGATACAATTCTATCATTCGTTTTGGAATAGCAATCCACACTTCATTCAAAACATTTGCCATGGCAATAATAATAAGATGCACGCATCGTTCTGTTTTGATGGTTGTCACAGGAAAGACTTGATCCCTGCGAGTCTGTAAAGTGAACAAAAAGTTTTTTTTTAAAGTCATACAATTGTGCAAAAGAGAGATGTCCTGAGATGTCCTGTGGAATAAAGAAAACTTAGAAGATTTGATGTCTTAGCTTAATCATCTTTTGCTAGAGTTTTTCAACTGAGTATCTCAAAACCAAAACCAAATGAATCAAAACAACCAATCAGAACACAGGTTAACCCTTTAATTAAGATCCCATATCAACATGTATATTCTTGTCACTGTTCTCTGTATGTTTCTTATTTTACTGATTGAGAGAATTTGTTCAAACATCAAGACAATTCATCTTTGGTGATCATTTCATTTATTCTCATGATCTATACATTTGATCAGGTAGTGATATTGTTGGGAGAAATTAGATGCTAGTCACTATTGGGGCTTAATGGGTTAACATCACCATTACCCAATGAGAACTCAGAGTAACACATCAAGCAATCTCCTTGAAGTGTGGGAAAGTGCAAGTTACCAAGTTGGGATTGATTTAAGTTTTGCATCTGATTGGTTGAGAGGCACCTGATCCTAACCAAGGGAGGGGGGGGAGGAATGAGTCAGCCATGAAGGAGATTTTGAATGTGCGTATTAAAACATGGTGAGGGCAAACCAACATTTCCCCTTGATTTGGTTCGACCATGCTTTTATTTTATATGACAAATAATATTATGAAAGGTAGATTTCATTAACATACCTCAATATTCTCTCGATATGCATTTTTTAAAATGTTTGAATACACTAGGCCAGGGCATATCATTGTGACACCAACATTCTTTTCATGGACTTCTATGTGCAAAGTATTGAAATAACCCTGTAAATGATACAAGTATATTCATTACATACTGGACAGTAATTTTGTTCTAATTTTATTATCTTTAAAAGAGTAACTGGAGATTTTTTCCTGTAGGAAGTTTACCCCTACAACCTATAAAAGTTTGCCCCCTAAAGTAAAAAAAAAAAGCCCGAAATCATTAACTCACAAAAATTTAGCCTGTAGAGCAGGTGTGATTTTGGCAAGCATTAGTGCTCAGAAATTTTCTAACAAAAATTATAGTCCCCATCTTTGATTTTAATGGCAGTGGAAGGCTGGGGAGAGAAAGAAATTTGTACCAGGGGGGAGGTCGATGGTCAAAAATTAGGAGATTAAACATGGCCAGTCAAATAAATGATGGCGAGCTTATAATGTTAGCTCACCATTGGTTGTCTAGTACCCTTTAACTTCCAAGATCTGATTGTTAATTCTCCCCTCTAGCTGCTACACATTTCCTTCTAAATTAGTTATGAGAACTTGGTGCTAGATCAAGATAGCAGCTTCTACCTGATAAGTTCAAATATTCTCTTTACCTGTTTGCTGAATAATGTTTGGAAAACATAGGGAGAAGTTTCATGTTAATCACTTCTGGGAGTTAAAGGGTTAACCTTTGTTCACTTTCCAGAAGTCCTCGAAAAACTTGTTAGTTTGTCCCAAGTGTAATTCTTACTACATGGTTGACCTTCCAACCTTTTTTTTTTATTTATTTATTTATTTTTTGTCCTGAATGGAAGATAGGAAGGATTCAAACTCAGAGTGCTTTGAGTTTCATTAAGAACTTGTTCACATCAGCCCAAGTCTATGAGTAGCCAAACTTGATCAGAATATATCCAGACATATTTTAAAATATTTCTTTAAGAAGTCATGAAAAGTGGACACAATACCTGCCTGTAATGCTTTAGTGTATTTGGTAATACATATCATATAATCAGTAACAGAAACAGTGCAATATGTCAGTTCTAGTCAATCACCTGAAGAGCATGTTTGGAAGCTGCATACACAGCTGTATTAGGTCCTGCTGCTGCAAAATGAATACCAGCTAATTAATATCATGCTTGTCTTGAGGCGTTCATCAAATACAAAAAGAAAAATGTGTTACCATGATAGTACCTTGTGCAAATAATATAACATGCTAGAAATGGCATGTATCTTATACTTAAAAGGGTGAAAGGCTTGGCCTGCAACTTATACATGTAGTGCATACAGGGAAGATGAAGTTCATTAGATATTCATGATTTCTCTACTCAACAACTGACAGGTTCAGGGAATTATTTTCCTGTAAAATGGGATGGCTTAAAACAACTGTCAACTACATAAAACACAAACTGAGTCAAAAGGGTCCTCAAAGCCCAAAAGTAAAAAGTGATCTTAGCCACATGTGTCAGACAAACTTGCATGTGTTACGTGTTCTCTGTTCTTCAATAAAAAAATTTTTGCATGCAGAGATATTCTCATAGGACTACAAAATGTTCTGTTTCCCTTGGGAGTGCAAATCTTTAATCTTCTTGAATCCTTAAATCTTTCAGCTTTTATGTTAAAATTTAATCCTTTAACTCTCATAGGTGACCAAGACAGAATTTCTCCTTACAATATCAATACAATATCAACCAGATAAGTGATGAGAATGAAGAAAATATCAATTTGGGGATAATTAGTTGATCCAATACTAAATTCTCTGAACTAACATTATAAGAATCAAATGGTTGACAGTGAGACGAATTACAAATTTTAAGGTGAGAGTTAGAGGGTTTACACCCTGGTTGATGATCTAGGCACAAAAAGAAAAATATGTATAAATTTTCCATGAACTCCACCCATGCTAGACTCAAAATGTGTATCTGTGCTCAAGGTGGTATCATATGAGGGCTGAGAAAAGGTAAAGCATGCATTAATGCTTTAATGAAAAATGTTCAGCATGGTTACCGGTCACCTCGCCACCAAGCAGACTCGCCACCAGCGAACTCGCCACCAAGGAACGATCTCGCCACCAACGTACTCGCCACCAAGCGAAGTCTTCTCGCCACCAACCACCAATAAAGAGATAAACTAGAATAAAGTAGTCGAGGAGAGTAGGATGTTCGAACGAGCACAATTCAAATCGGCCGATACGTTTGTGCGCTTGTCTGTATTTAAATTATGACCTTCAGCGACGTGTTAGATGTGTTCCGTTCCTAACTCATTGACATCGAAACGTATCGTGTTTGTCTTTTGCACGTAAGCGAGGAGAAATTACAAAACTCGATGCGAGGAATAAAAACTTACTTGAGAGAAAATGAAACTTCATGGGAAGAAATTAGTGATGAAATGAAACTCGATAGCAGTTGTATTAAAACTAAACTTATCGGTTTCGAACGTGCTTTCGACAACATACGTTTATAAAGTTTGAGTACAGACAAGCGAACAAACTTATCGGTTTCGAACGTGCTTTCGACAACATACGTTTATAAAGTTTGAGTACAGACTTATCAGCCGAACATCCTACTGTCCTCGACAAATCTCTATTGGTGGTTGGTGGCGAGATCGTTCCTTGGTGGCGAGTTCGCTGGTGGCGAGTCTGCTTGGTGGCGAGGTGACTGGATACCGGTGCGAGGTAACCGGTAACCAGAGGAGAGGGGGGGGTGGGGGGAAGTAAAATATACATCATGCTGAAAATTCTGCATTACAACATAAACGTAATGAAGGATTTAATATATCATTCTGAAGGGAGGGAAGGGAGAGAGGGGACTTTTCATAAGAAAAGAGCAGCCACACATGCTGAAGGTTACCGGTTACCTCGCCACCAGGGAGACTCGCCACCAGCGAACTCGCCACCAAGGAAAGATCTCGCCACTAACGTACTCGCCACCAACCACCAATAAAGAGATAAACTAGAATAAAGTAGTCGAGGAGAGTACGATGTTCGAACGAGCACAATTCAAATCGACCGATACGTTTGTGCGCTTGTCTGTATTTAAATTATGACCTTCAGCGACGTATTAGATGTGTTCCGTTCCTAACTCATTGACATCGAAACGTATCGTGTTTGTCTTTTGCACGTAAGCGATGAGAAATTGCAAAACTCGATGCGAGGAATAAAAACTTACTTGAGAGAAAATGAAACTTCATGAGAAGAAATAAGTGATGAAATGAAACTCGATAGCAGTTGTATTAAAACTAGATGCGAGGAATTGTCAAGTCGGTGCGAAAAATTGTAAGCGTCGATGGACTGAAGCTTTCCTAAGGCAACTACAGTTGTTTCCCAAGGAGAGTTAACAGTTCGAACCAATCGATTCCTGAGTTTGTTTGCTTATTTGTATGAAAATTTCGACGTCTGTGATGTTATAAGTTCGAACGAATCGACTCACGAGTTTGTTTACTTATCTGTATGCAAATTTCGACGTCTGTGATGTTGTCAAGGGAACTTATTCAATATTCGGTCGAATTATATTACCCAGTTTCCCCGCGGCAAAATAACAACAAACTTTATTGAATATTAAATCTAGAAGAGCAGCTCATATGTTGATCATGACTTTTGCAGATGTGGCGGCTCCTAAAAGAGCCATTTTTAGCGACCTGGAAACGTCCTAAAGACGCAACCAGGGCGCGGTGGCTCCACCAGCAGGTAGAATGGCAAGTGGACTCTGTTGTTGGCTCTACTGTTAAGACCGTGGTGCCACGCCTCTATGTCGTTGTTGGTGCAGATCGGCAGCATGAAGACAGACCAACAGGATTGAGGCCACATTGTGCTGGTAATCCAGTTCTCCTCCACGTACAAGGCAAGTGCTTCCAGAGCAGTGGTAGTGGCGCGGTCTCTGAGCCGCTGAAACATCGGCGTAATCTCGGCTTCCGGCAGGAAGGGCAGCGCCATGAGTTTTCTAATTTACTTGTAGGTACGACTGTCTGCGCGGTAGGCTGGCTCCAATCCCAACTCTTGAACCTTATTGAAAAAAAGGAAAACAAATTTTCAGAGATAAGCCGTTAAGCACTTATTTTTAACTCCGTGTGTTTCTAATTCTATTAGTATAGGTATGCGTTAAGCTTGATTGATATTATTCAGAGAAGAGCCCTCAGAAAAGGACGGTAGGTAGGTATGGGTTTTTTATTTGAACGAACTTCAAAAAAAGTTTAAAAAAATATATTAACTGCACCTGTTTCACGCGAGACTGGATCTGGGTGGAAGCAAGGATACCAAATTCACCGGGGTGGTTGTGGCCATGTTCCCTAGTACATTTGTGTTCAAATACATTCCTGCATTATTCACTAGAAAATCAATCTGTCATTAAGAAAACATAGTACATGTACGCTTTGGTTCGAATATCATTGAAATTTACAGCAGAACACATCAAAGCAGAGATCATGACCTTGCCAAACTGTTGAAGAGCTTTGGTAACGCAGTCTTCGTGAGAAGCGAAATTTGTAATATCCAATGGCACAACAAGAAAGTCTTCCTCAAATATTAATGGAAAAAGCTTTCCTGCCAAGCCTATGTAACAAGAAAACAAAGACTATTATTTATAGTTATAATATATAACTGAACTTCAATCATTTTTGGAGCAACTGCAGAATACCCTGCCACTTTGGTCCACCTCATTTACATGTGTCGGGAGGTTTTGAAGATCGAGGCATAACACAATAAACTTATTCAATGACATGTAAGTGAGTCGCCTTCTTTTGGTTTGAAAATTTTCTGAAATTGTTTTGAGAAATTAATGGAAGTAAAAAAAATTCTTAAGCTCCCGTCCCCCCACGCGACTGCTTTCCCTCACCTCGTGTAGAATGAAGTTTTAAAAACTAAAATAACTTAGAGCAAAACTTATTCATGCAATGATTTTTCACTCTGTCTAATTCGTCTTTTCTCCTCGCTGATAGCACCAGTTTGCAGCCAAATTCAGTTAGCTTGTACGCTAAATGTTCGCCGATTCCGCTCGATGCACCAGTAATCCAAATCACTTTACCTCGTAGTCTTTTATCCGGTGGCTTTGCAAATCTCTCGTAGAAATGTAGTACTGCATCGAAATCGGCAAAATAAATTCTCAAGATGTGCAAGACGACAAACAGAAAAACACATATCTCGAGGAAACCTATCATTTTCGATAAGATATTGGTTAAGGGTGAACAGCGAGACAGGTTTCGTGGACACTAATGACTGACCAAATGGGAGACCTGGGTCTAAAAGATCACAGGGCACCCAGGTGTTGAAGTGGGGAAGTAAGAGCAACAGAATGACTTTACCAAAGTAAGTCTCTTGACGGCATGACTTCTATTTTTCTAACTTCTTGAAATGTCTAATCACTTGCCCTTATTTTTACGAACGTTTGGATTGTTTCTTATAGCTTTGCGTGACAGCTGTTTTCCTTTGTAATGTTTCACAGGAAATTGGCGGGGTCGGCCAAAAATGATTCACTTGGGTATGCTCCACGTTTGACTGCTGTGTTGTGGTCTCGTTAAAAAATTGCCCTCAGGAGCTACGAAATGGGTAAGTAAGACAACGAAATTTACTCAAAGAACTGTGGAAGTTGCATTCGGACTGAGCTTGTTTAATTTTGGATCAACAAAACACCAAACAAAGCACAAACAACTGGCTATCACCATGCAACGTTGGTCATCTTAATAATTTCTTAGCCGGCATAACAAAAAAAGTCAACCTGTGGGGTCTGTTTTAAAAGAATGAAGAGCAAATATCGAAAAATATCAAACTAGAAGTTCGGTTATTTGTCTCCTGGAGGTACGTTTCACATCATGAACGCAAAAGTTAAATCTGAATTTTAAAAGTAAAGAAAACCGTTTCAAGTTTGATGTCAAACGTTACATCGAAATTTACATGTAAGAAACACAAGCTGTTGAAGATAGTCGGGTAATCAAAACATAACACATCTGATATCTTTTTTTAATTACTTCTTATTCTTCTGTTGGTCTCTATTATCAATGCTGGGCTACACGCGGAGACACTCTCAAAATGTAAACTTTTTCTAAGAGAATACTTTGTTGGTTGATTTTTGCAACGATTCCCAACATTCACAACATGGGCGAGGGAAGAGCTCGGGAATAAAAAGGTAACAGAAATCATGACAAAGAAGGAGAATAGTTCGAGACAAATAAGATTTTCACTGTGAAACAAGAAATCGGTCAACAGAAGACCGCAGATGTCCTTGAGACAAAAATGTTTTACATTACTCGGAAGACAAAGAGAAAGTTAATATCTAAGTTTGCAGCTATCTGACAGCAAAACTTTTTCGTGTAATGCCGAAACTGTGCAATTTGAACTGCTATATACAGTGGAACCTCGATATAACGAAATGCCGAGGGAGTGGCAAAACTGGTTCGTTATATTGAGTGTTCGTAATATCGAAAACTTCGATTCAACGAATTTGCGTAAAAACAACCAAATTGTTCGTTATATCAACGGCTGGATGACAATTTTTTTCTATTTTTTTAAATCATTAAAATTTTTTTGTGGTGTGCTGTTACGCTACTCAGCATTTTTGTAATAGTCTTCAGACGGTATTGTATAAAGATAAGGTTTTCGTGCACAACTGAACTCTCGTAGAAGGCACAACAACAATGGGGGAAAAATAGCTCTGTAGAGACAACTCGGCAGTGAGAACGGAAACTCGTCACGATTTCCTAGTACACAGCGATCTACTTCAAGCGAGCTTTTACGGACGTCAAGGATAAGACAGCGTTTTAGTTCCACGGTAGACTTTTTTACTAAGTCAGGCCAACAACTGACATGACCTTTAGTATACTCAACTTCGTAATCAATGTAATCGGCACGCAGTCGTCTATGTAATCGAAAAAGCTTTACAATGTACTTGCTTAAGTATGAACTGGTGTGAGAATTGTCAAATTAAGGAAGAGGATTCAATAAACTCTAGGCCACTAAAAGTAGGAAACTGAGGTGAGAATTCACAGCTCTGATATTGAAAATATACCTCTCTTAATTAAAGTAGAACAGCTTAGGAAATAAAAGTGGAAAAGCAGGTAAAAATTTCGGCTTATCTATGCAAATTTCCGCTTATCTATGCAAGGTTGGTGTGGGAAATTATCGTATGAAAGGAAACTGAAATTACGAGCAAAAACTCAGCTGCCAACTACCATGAGAGCTAATTTTTTCAGAAAGACCATTAAAAATTATATTTACCTAAAAATTTCACAGACAGTGGTCAATAAAAGTACCGACATGTAGCTGTAAAATGAAAGCAAGCAACAAAACAAGAATCTCTTAGTTTACTACTCAAAAACCACTGTGGCTTTTTATATACTTTTTGATTTACTTAGACTGAAAGAACTTGAATGAACTCGAATAAAATAAAAATGGTTGAATATGAAAAGTTTACGAATAAATATATTCCAAACAACCATATAGAAAAATCAATATATTTTCCCGTAATAATCGAGATGGTAAGTTCTTATCTTAAATTATTTTAGTACTTCATATGCGTGATGAGGGTAAATTTGAAGGCTCGTTGATTTAAAATTTAAGGGTTTGATAACATCACGTTCAGGCTTCATGGCTTCGTTCTGATTGGTTAATTTGGTTGGGGCAGATGTTAGCCAAACTCAGAATGCTTATGTACTTTAAACAGTAGGATATGACTTCGCTCTAAAAAAATGGGAAAAACAAATTTAAAGAGTCGATGTTATTTCAAAATTTATCTTCGGGTCAAGTAAATGGAAAAGTTAATTATCCGGCTAAGTAAACTGACTTTATTGTGATTTGATAAACAGGTTCTCACAGTCCATCAACTTTCTGTGGTCGTTTGATTGCACTACGATCAAAGAACTGTTTAATTATCCTACATCACTGCTGAAAATGAAACACCATTTTGAGTTAGCTCGCACGTTATCGTTTTTCCTCTGGGGAAGTTATCTTTTCTACTGTACCACTGCTTCAGAAGGTAAATAACCTAATGCAAGTGTCTACCAAGTTTCTGTGCTAAATTTTCTTTAATTATCAATCTTGGTCACTCGATAAATTCTCGAGGTTTTGAGAGGATTGACAACCTTTCCCTTCAATATCTCAAGTATTTGTATCTGAAGATGTTAATTAAGCACCTGTTCTTCCAGGGGCTGGTTTTTCTGAATGTAAGATATTTATTTTGTCGTTAGAAGACGTATTTGTGCTTATTTTTTTACTAATGGATAAACTTTTAGAATGCGAATACACGTACCCTCTTGGCATGGAAAACGGTGCAATATCTGACAGTCAAATTAGCGCTTCTTCCCAATGGGACAGCAGTCTTAGCCCCAAAAATGGCAGACTACATCATGAACAAGGCCCCGAAAAAGGAGGAGCCTGGTCAGCGAGGACAAATGATGATAAACAGTGGCTGCAGATTGATCTAAGAGATCAACAGACCAAAGTTACTCGTGTAGGAACGCAGGGAAGGAATATAAATTTTCAGTGGGTTACAAAGTACAAACTGCAGTATGGTAATGATGAAGGAAGCTTGCAATATTTCAAGGAAGAAGGACAAAGTGCCGATAAAGTAAGATTGCAAATTTCATGCGAATGTTCTCAGAACGTATACTTCCATAAATTTGTTCGTGCATGCGTCTTTTCGCCAGAGTAATTAAAATAATTTTTAAAATGTGTATAAAAAGAAAGATTACCAAGTGGACCACATGTACATAAGGTTTTGATACCCTTAGCAAGATCAGTTGGAAGCATGAATGAACCGAGCGTATTTGACAGCTTAACTAGAGGAAAAGCTCTCAAAAAGAGAGTTAATTCCTCTTGTTAACCCCTTAACACCCAGAAGTGATCAACACTTAACTTCTCTCCTTAATATCCATACATTATCCATCAAGCAGTTCAAGAGAATACTCAGACAAACTTATCAGATATGAGTTTTTTATCATGATATGACACCAAATTCTCATAATTGTTATTTACATGGAAATGTATTGCAGCTATTAGGGAGAATCACCAATCAGATCTTGGGAGTTAGAGTGTTGATCAAAACTGGCAGGTCTAAGCTGCCAATTCTTGAATTTTATCCACTATCAGTAAATATTTTCAAGGGTTGATTTATTATTAATTCTTAATTTATCCTATTAAGGAGTTTAATGGAAACACGGACAAAGACACCGTTGTGGTAAACGTTTTAATCCCACCAGTCACTGCGCGCTACATTCGTTTCCGACCGGTAGCTTGGAATGGCCATATTTCAATGAGAGCAGAGCTGTACGGCTGTCATAGAGGTAAACGAAAATTGCTCTTTTCAATTATCCAATCTACTGCCGTAACACCACTTAGCTTTTAGTATGCTCCAGGCCCTGAGTCAGAGGAGGCAAGTGAAAGCAGGCGAACAACAAATCGAGCCAGTGGTCGTCAGGGACACGGCTCCCTAGTTTGTTTGTATTTTTTTGTTTTTTTTTGTTTTGGAGAACATCTGCTAATTTTTGTACGCCGGCCTTCCCATCTATTTCCATTTAGTGAAAGGATGGTAGAGGCAGCACTTCTGTTTAAAAAAAGGATTGGTGAACAATTCTTTGTTCCTGGTTGCGCACCATAGCACTGATGCCCTTTGGTATAGTAATGGAGGCCACAACTCAATCGTGTGCTGTTGCTATCCATGCCACTCTTCTTGAAATAGAAAAAGTGACTGAAGAGTTTAAGATGTGAAAGGAGTCGTGCATGAAAAACAAACAGAACATTTGATAAAACGTAGTAGTCAGAATTGTACAACTTGCTTAGGAGGCGCTCGCTTTCTTTTTTTAACTTGCTAAAACAGCTCTTTTTATATATATAAAAAAAAAAAATATGCACGCCGAGTGCAAAAATCATCTCAGCTCGAAACTCATGTCACAACAACGTTTACAACCGGTATGTTTACTTTTTGAGTCTTAAACAATCATAAGTTTCTCACATGATCAGTAACTAATTGAGGACAACGCGTTGATGATTTCGTCAGGTTCACTTCGTTTTATACATATATTTTTAAATTTTTTTTTACTCTCATCGTTGCTTAAATATCACTATTTATCCCAATTCCTTGCAGATTCTTGCCGATCTCTGAAATTTACCCCATCAATAGATGGCCGCGCCCTCGTGGGTCACGTGATTAAAAACATTACTTTGCACGTGGGTATGCGTCATTCCTGTAGAGGAAAGTGTGTAATTGATAATAGCTGCGCATCATTTAACATCGGTCCATCAATAAACGATCAAGTGCTATGTCAGTTGAGCGATTCTGATCACGTTAGACATCCTGAAGATCTGAAACCACGAGATGGGTTTACCTACACTGCTACTGAGGTAAGATTACCCAAAAAATCACGTATACCTCCATGTAATTCTGCAGATTGTCTGATGACAGAGCTGAGAAAGAGGATCACTTGTCGAAAACTTTTGTTGGATCACAGAGAGAGACAAAAGCATGCAAACTTAAACAACGGCGAAGTTTTCCGCCCTGGGTAAGAGGTTAGTGGTGTGGTCAAAGTTACAAATTAAGTCACAGAGCTTTTCACCCCGAAAGCCAGCCATGTTGATACTCTGCTGCGAAGTAACGTACACAAATGTAGTTCGATCCCAAAAATGTACCAACTTCAGTCCTCACACTTTGGTGGAAAGCTTAGACTCCCCTTTTTTTTCCTCTGTTAACTGAAATTACATGGATGGTCATCAGCGTTAAGTTTTAATCGTTTTGAAAGCATCTGGATTTATTTATCAACAGGATAACAAGAATTAATTTTAGAAGATATCGCCCCATGTAAGGTAATCCAGGACAGTATTATATTCTGGATTCCACGTTGTGGATTCCGGATTCCAGATGCTGGATTCCGGATTCTACCGCTGCAAATTCCGGATTCCAAAACACAAAAGATTCCAGATTTTAGTTTCTGGTTTGCCCCTAATTTTCACATTTCGTTTTCTAGGAATGACTTCAATGGCGGATTTCGCTATTGAAGGATATGTTTATGAATGCATGTTTGTCTATTCATATTTCCACAACAGCATTTGATAATTATGAGACTTGAAATTATAAAATTTGAAATGTATAACAGCAAATTAAGGGATAAATTTTTGTTGTAGGAATACCTGTTGAAACTGTCCGTCTCTTAAGTCCAAGGTCCATTCGTTCCACATCTTTTAGCAACTCCGAAGAGACCAGACCACATTTCTTTCATACAGGTTCCTCGAGGTTCTTCAAGTGATTTAACAGTAACAAAGAACTAATAGTTCAAATCATTGCTTATCAT